CTTCCCACGCTAAATCATAAAGTTAATCAAATTTGAGCTGTAAATGGGCCGGATCAAACCTGCAGATAAAAATAAATGTGTAGAGCAGTGGGAGACTCCTCTCAGCTTTAACTATGCATACAAAACAAGAGAGGGCTGCTTAATCTTTCATGAAGTACAGTCTCAGACCTCACCTTTGACCTCAGCTTTTCACACTTTCAAGGGCACGACTGAACGAGAGACATCCATCCAGACAGCGAGGGCTTTGTTCAGGGGTTACGGAGCGGCACAGACCGGAGTTTCATATCAAAGTGCATAAAGCGGAAGAGTAGCTATATAAAGACTTTCCAAAACCTGAAAATGGTTCCTCCGCAGGCTGAAGGGACAGCATCAATGCGTGTATGAATCCAGTGTTCAAGAAACACAGGGCTGTAACCTCCATGGATATTCAGATTAGTCGTCAATTAGGAGTTTAAAAAAAAATATATATGTTGGCTTGACAATGCCAACACACTGACCTACTATTTAAGGTTATTATTATTACAAAAAGTCTCTGACTTTCAATGAGGGGGTCAAAACTTTTGTACAATAAGGCTTATCGAGTATTTAAAGGGCATATTGCAGGTTAGAGGACCCAACGAGTCAAGTCAATGTATATTAAAATAATGTAGGAACTAGATTTTCTTTAAAATATTCTTATAAATACGCTACAGAAGCTTCTGGAGTCGTTTTTGTGAGAAAATTTTACTTCCGCGTCTGAAAATGGGTGTGGCGGGCGTGACGTAACGGGCGGGAGAGCGGTCGATTCAAACAACAGGAAAACAATGGATCGCAATGACATATCGGACGCTGAGGAAATACTTACCCGTATGACGGACTACAGCCATACAATTATGAGCCTGCTATGCTGCCAATAGAGTAGGGACAGGCCAGGATTAATGTTAGACAGAACGGTCAGAGACACATTGAGTTGTGGTGTGAGGAGAACCAGTGGAGAACAGGACAGGTGTCTTGGTGAGAGACGTGCTTATAGATACACGTTCGCTAACGATATACACTGTGCTCACAATATTGTACAGATTATTACCATCGTATATCAGGCCAGCAGACATTAGTATGTTTAGGGTAGATGTATACTATTAAATGTATAAAAACTATACTTGAGTATATTTCTATTGTAACTAAAAACATACTCAAGTACATTTTTAAAACATATTTTTCATCTGGGTTATAACATAAACAGAAAATTAAAGATTTGAATATTTAATCAACCTAGTAATTTTGTTTTTCAATTACAAGTTGCCTCTATTTAGGCCAGGGCATGACTACCTATATCACACTATTTGATGCCATTGGTACAGTATACGACGATCAATATTCTTGCTTCGGCATCCCATGTTAAACTCCATCATATCGCCGGGATGATAATCCTCCGATCTGAAGTGAACGCTACACACGATCTGAAGTGAACGCTACACACGATCTGAAGTGAACGCTACATACGATCTGAAGTGAAAGCTACACACGACCGCGTTTCTCGAAGCCGATGCGGAAGAGAAATCCCGTCTCTTCACCTGCACAAACCGCACCAGGCATGAAAGATATATACAGCACCGTCCTTTTTCTTGTTATGGAAACCTGTGGACTCGATCCCCTGACAGGCCGGAGTTTTTGCAACCTCCACAAACACAATAATTTACCATGGCGATGATAGATTGAAATACAAAAACTACCGAAAACACACTGACTCACGGCCGCTCTCACTGAATGGCAGCCTACTCTGCACTGAGGCGAGGCTGAGGCTCCCTAGCGTGACGTAAAATGACGCGATGTTGAAAAAAAAGCCGTTTTTACGAGCAGTCCAAGAAACGCTCACTTTATCTACTAAATTAGTGCCCTTATGTCGTTTTAAAACATTTTAAATCCTGCATTACCTTTTCATATGATATTTTCATACAAGGTTATATATTAATTTAGTTTTTTTTTTACCTGCAATATTCTCTTTAAGTTATCACTAACAAAGCTATGTGACTATCATAGGTAAAACATGCTATCAATATGCTAATCATGTTAGCAACATGCTAAACATGTTATAAACATGTTATAAACATGTTAGCAATGTGTTAAATCATGTTAGTAACATGTTAATCATGCTAGAAACATAGCAATGTGTTAATTCATTTTAAAATTTGTTAAAACATGTTAGAAATGTGCTAAATGATGTTAACAAAATGCTAAATCATGCTAGCAACATGTTAAATCATGATTGCACCATGATAATGCATGATAGCAATGTGTTAAAACATGCCAGCAAAATACTAATTCATTTTAGCAAGATGTTAAAACGTGTTAGCTACATGTTAATTTATGCTAGCAAATTCATGATAACAATGTGTTAAAACATGTTAATCCATCCATGCTAGCTCTTTCTTTCTTCTTTCTTTCTTTCTTTCTTTCTTTCTTTCTTTCTTTCTTTCTTTCTTTCTTTCTTTCTTTCTTTCTTTCTTTCTTTCTTTCTTTCTTTCTTTCTTTCTTTCTTTCTTTCTTTCTTTCTTTCCACTTCACTAAAATTAAAGCTTATAAAACTTTCAAATTTTAATACGGCTTTGTCAAGCCAACATCAAAGTTTGTCCTAATGAACTTTACTTTCTAGTTCCATTTTGGATTACTGACATGATCCTGGATTCTTCCTTTCTTCAAAGCTCCTTATGGGCTTATCATAGCATGATGTCCATAAACTCAAACCTGCTTTGTATTACTACATGTGATATTTTTAATAAGCATGTTAACTCACATTTTTTTAAATCCAGATATTCAAATTGAATTTGCATGAGTTTGAAGAACCAAATTAGTCATAGAGAAATTTGCACGACTATATAAGATCAAGCACAAGTCATATAATATAATATCAAATGCATTAAGGAGATGTATCCTTTGATAACCCACAATCCTGTGTTTGCAGTTTGACGATTAGTGGAAAGAAATAGTACATAAATTTCAGTTTTTCTCAACAAACTGCATGACTCAATTTCTACTGAGAAATTAGCATTGTAGACATTACATCAGTATTTCTTCTTGGTTATACGTTATGATGTCTTGGAAGTCTGTCTATAAAACAGACTAATGACGTGCCTTGGTAGAAAAACACAGTCTGAAGTCATTGACTGACTGGGCAGTGAGGCAGCTGCCTTCAGTTTCACGGCCAGTGTCTGAATGTGTTCTCAATGATTTCATCTAAAGCACACTGTATGCCTCACTGCTCCAATAGTTACACCAAGAAAGGGAACTGTTAAGCTACTGTCAAAACTGTGGAAATCTTTGCAAAAAAGACAGCTTAGAAAGTTTGTATAGCATTGTTATTTGTATTGGACTTATATGAGGTAAGCAACTCTCTTTCAGAATTTTTTAGATATTTTTTTCTTTTCAGATATTTTTTTTCCTCAAATGTTGCCAAATATGCCAAAACTATTCACACAGATAAACAGATTTAAATTTTATGCAGCCCCACAAAATAAACCACACTGCTTTCAGAGAAAATTCAAACTGATTGTTTATTGTGTCTTTAAAGCTTTAAAATGTTATATCCAGAAAGTATACCACAAAAGACATAATAGAAAGGCATAATAGAAATAACAAATAGTAGTATTAGTAGTATTATTATAGTAATAGTAATAATAATAGCACACAAATATTATTTGTATTGCATTATAAATATATATATATATATATATTACCCTCATACAACACAGATCATGCTGACAGCACTGTCAGGCCTGACACTGTTCTCAGATGCAAACTCAGCGTCCTCATATGACTTATGCACTGTACTGTTGCCTAGCTGAGGCATCTTAATAGAACTGAACAAATAGCGTCATTGTTTGAGTTTAATTTAGTTAGGGGGAAAAACAACGAGCAGGAGATCGCAGCAGTCACGTTTCGGTCGACACATTTCCTTTTTAATTATGCAACCCCCCCACCCCCACCACACACACACACACACTTAAAACATGAAAAAGGATATTAAATGACATTTGAGTGCTTTTTCATGTCAAAAATTGTAATCTAATATTAAGGGGAATATTTCACATGGGCTATTGTGTACAAAGCAGAATTGCCTCATTTAACTGTTTTGTTTTAATTCAAAGTGGAAATTATCAAAGTGAAGAATCAGTTAGTTCAATTAATAATAAAATGTTGGCGGCATTTATAATTAATTCCCTCAACTAAAAAGAAAACCACAAACTACTAACAGAGCTGCTTAACTTAGGTTATTTTCAACAAACTCTAATTAGAAATGCTTATTGATGTTGAGTTGTAAGAGAAACTAGATGTGTGTGTGTGTGTGTGTGTGGCCAACACAGTCTCATATGGATGATGGAGAAAAGAAAATGTCTTAGAACAAAATACTATTGGTTTGTTTTCTTCGGTACAGGATGTCTCTCAAAGAAAAGCATATACTACATTGCCAAGCATTGATGATAATTAAGCTTCATGTAGTGAACAAAGGTAGGCTTACCTGATTGAAAATTTAGAAAACAAAACCAGGAGGAAACACCAAAGGATTACAGTCAGTATGAATCACTTTTTATCTGTTGAAAAGTCAACATGAAATTAAAAGCATGAAACGTTTACTTTCTTACTGCAGGTCCCTGCAAAATATTATATTACATGCAGTAAGTACATTCAATGAAGTATATCACACACACACACACACACAATATTATATTATTTAAAAAAATTGATTGAAAATTGAAATGATTTCCTTTGAAATAGCATGCATAACTTATTTCTTAAATTTGTTTGAACAAATTTCTTGCTTTGACAAACTTAAGAATGTAGTTTATTTATGTATTTATTTACTGCACTTATTTTTGATATTGCCATGGGTTATTCATTTTAAGTGTGAACTCAAATCCTTTCAAGATCTGCCCAGCACATTCTTCAGTTGTGTTGATTGTAGTTATAGAGGAAAAGCAAAGATATTTATTGCCTTGTTAGTTGTTTTTCTTTTTTTCCTGCAGTCTCGATAGAGTTGAAGTCCCCTAAGAGACATAAAACACACTGGAACTACCAACCGCCATGGAACCATATTGATTAACAGCTTTGACAGCTTACCAATCTGACTGCGTGTTAGAAATCAGGACTCTCCAGACTGCTGCAGGTGTATGAATCACAGTTTCACGGTCAGAAACGACTCGGGCCAGATAAACTCACCTAACGGATTACTGGACAGGACCTGCCTGGAGAGACGCCGCGGGCCAATTACAGCCTTCCAGTGTAAACTGCATCATCTGCAGAGAAGGTGACACAGAAATTGCCTAGGTATCAGCCAAAATGTTAAATCTATTAAATAACCTTCCTCGATTTTATGAAATGCTGAGCCTCACAAATATGCTTTCAGTGGCACTGCCTGTGAAAGAGTGATTAAGGTCACAGCCCATTTAAAAAACATATATAATAATAAAACCACTGAATGTTTCTAGAGTCTTGAATCTTTCAAGAAAAACAATGCCAGAGACATATACAGTATAATATGTAATATAATATAATATAATATAATATAATATAATATAATATAATATAATATAATATAATATAATATAATATGTGGGTATGGGTAATATAATATAATATGTAATGTGTCAATAATTCTGGCGTATATTTGAGAATTGCAATTGAACGTTTGCAATTGAAAACTAAGAGAATACAGCATATAGCAAAGACATATCAATATGTAGTAAAAATCATTTGCATTCAAAAAGAGATCATTAAGAAACTTCAGATTAAAGTTGACCCAAAAATTCACGTTTATGTCCTTGCGAACGCTTTAGCTATTGTTTTTAGTCCCGTGTCTCATAATCAAAGGTCATGTGCTGGTGAATAATATGACTTAAATTTCTCTGTTTATCACACACACAAAAAACTATTGTATCAGATAGACCATGGTCACAAAACATGTCTAACTCAAAATATTCGCAACTGGACATTGTATTTCGACAGTTCTGAAAGAAAAATGATTCAAAAGAAGGATAAAAAAGCAGCAAAAGTATGTTAACGTCATCCAGGGTAGAGCAGGCAAAATAATGCCAGCGTTTCTTTTCCTTCATTATTCACAATGACAGGAGGACGGCAAATATGCACTAGACAGAGAATGATTTAAGCAGTAGGGTGGATGTATTTAAACTCGACTGCTTGCTAAATGATCCATTTGATGTTTGCAGTTCAGTCTATGGGTCTTAAAAGGAGAATTCTCTTTCTTCAGAACCACCTGCTGGCCTGTAGTTCCTCTGTAGATCTGCTGCAGTCTAGAGAAGGACACATCCTTGTCCTCAAAGCCTCTTGAAGTCTGCGACAGTTTATGGCTCAGCATGGACTTCAAATATGTGCTTGTTCTTTCTCCAGCACCTCTGAAACTAGAGCACTGTTCTCCAACACCTGGTGGGAGAAAGACACGTCTGCACTCTCAAACCCTCATCTCTAATCACAAAACTCTCTCAACAGGATTCAGCAAATGCGATAAAGACGAGAATTGAGGGGAAAATTGAGCCGTATGGTGAGTCTAGGCTCCAGACAATTACTGGTGGAGGTGTATCGGGTCTGCAGTTGGACTTTGGATGAAAAGGTGGTGAGTCTGGGAGCACGGACTGTATTGATTTTGGTTCAGCACCAGGTAATGTTTGTAATACAAAACAGGTTGCACTGCTTTGTTATTCCCATAGAGGATGAAGGTTACCTTGGATACTTGTCACCTAGTTGATACACTTTATTCAAAGCAACCAACTGTAATAATCAGCCTGGATGTCTCTATGGAGCAAGATATGATTGTATGTTGTGCTAAAGGGCAAGATGATGAAAGGGCAGAAGGTGTTCCTGGGATTCAGACTTGCTGAAGGTCTTATATTTTCATAATGCATTTTTAAAGTAAAATAAAAAATGTCAACAAGAAACAATATTACTCGTGTAGTACAATGGACATAATGTTGTATCTCGTTTGGCTTTCCATGTTGTATCTCATTTTATAGAGTTATAAATATCTTGTACATCTACTTTAACAAAGTAGTCTAGGTTTGGTCAAGTTGTCCCAATGGTACTGTATGCAAAATGTATATATTTAATTTATATATTACATTTATTTATATTATATTATGCATTACATTTATTATTTAATTTTATTTCACACACACACACACACACACACACACACACACACACACACACACACACACACACACACACACACACACACACACACACACACACACACACACATATATATATATATATATATAGGCCTACTGTATATGAAATATAATGTATCACAGATGCTACATTTTATTTGTTTGTTTGTTTATTTATTTATCTTAGCTGTTTCCTGCATATGGAGGCTTGTTTCTGCCACGGAATAAAAAGGAAATTACGACTTTTTATCTCGCAAATCTTTTTTTTAATTATTACTTTTTTCTCAGCATTGCATCATATAAACACTAGAATTGCGAGATATAAACGCTCAATTGCAAGATTTTTTTTTTTTCGAGATATAAGCTTACAATTGTGAGACAAAAAGTCCAAATTGTGAGATATAAACTCGCAATTGTGAGGAAAAAAAAAGTCAGAATTGTGAGATAAAAAGTCACAATTATCTTTTACATTTTTTTTATTCCATGGCGAAAACAAGCTTCCATACTAGCCCCATCAGAGAGCCGCCACTGATAACGGATAGCTTTCCAGGTATTTACTAGCATTAAATCTAATCTCATGCAACTGTGCTGTTTTGTGGCTGTTCTGTTGAGTTTAATTTAGGGGCACAACTCTGAAAAGAGTATCAAAGGAGATATCAAAGCCCTTTTCCCCTTCTCTTGGTTGTAGTTTTCTTTCTACCGCCATAGCATCTTAAGCAGCTTAAGGTTCTTTAAGCTCCTTCTGCAACATACGCAATCTGTTCCCAGCATGGTCTCCTTTCCATTTCAACTTACAGTTAACTGTGAGCTTAATGTTCAAGCTGAACTGTAAGCTCAGTGTTAGGCTGGAACTGACGTTGCTGTCTTGTTCCAGTGCGGTGTGTTGCATTATGCATGCTGGGACAGATGCTTCTGTATCTGCTCAAAACTACAAATGGCAGTTGTACTATGGCGTAGTGTGTAAAGCTTGTAGTTTCAAAGCCCCCGATGAGCTATTTTGACCCAACACCCTTTTAAAAAACACAGAAATGGTTTTTCAGGTTACAGTGAGGCACTTAGAATGAAAGTGAATGGGGACAATTTTAGGAGAATTTACAGTTTTTACCAGTGGCGGATGCAGAACGTGACAGATGGGTGGGCCTGGATTAAGTCGAGGTGGGCCTGATTCTAGGGTTTCTAGATTTTGTATTAGCTACTAGATAGTTATGGCGATGAGAAATAAAAACCGCACTGTACAGCTATGATCAGCTGTTTGGCCGAGCTTTCGAAGTTGTTACGGAAACTGAATACGGCCAAAGCTGAACGGTTGGTTTTTGTCACATGACATGCTTGCGGCACTCTCTGAAAAGTTGAGATGTTTTCATCTGGTCGCGGCATAGAAAAACTAGTGCGCTGCAGCCTGCACCACTTGCGTATGGCAAGCTAAAGTATTCATAAACGCCTGGTCAGGCGTCTGATTGCAAACTGACCCGTCAAAAGCAAGCGGGACGCGCGATTTGTCATAAAAGCGCGCGTTCTTAACGTGCACTTTGTGGTCACGGAAAACGCGCGTCAGAATCTCGTGGTTTTTGCATTAAAAAATAACGTATGAAACCGTATTGTAAAGTGTTACCAGAATTACAACTGGAAAATTTGCGAGATGTGTCTCGAACGAAGCGATTAGGGGTCTGTCCGAGGTGCTGAAATAAAAAAACAGTGAACGTGAAACCGAGAGTTGTTTTTCTTTTCTTGTTACAAAAACACTTCTGATGCATAAAACACCTGCAGACAGAAACAATCTCATTTAAATAGCAGATCACACGTCCAGGACGCACGTTTTGATGCAAAAAACGCGTGTTTCTGACGCGTGTTTTCCGTGACCACAAAGCGCACATTAAGAACGCACGCTTTTAATGCAAATCGTGCGTCCCTTGGCTGTCGAAACGCACGCGTTTGACGAGTCAATCAGACGCCTGACCACGTCGCTTCCATAATGAATGGAAATAACATTTATACATTTGTAACATTTGTAGGCCTACATTTGAAATAACAAACTTGAGCGCGCAAAAGACGCGATATGTGAACGGGCCCCATAGTCTTTGTCTTTCCAAGACATGGTCTTCATGTGAACAATGAGCCTCGTCGCCTCTCCTTGCAAGGGTTTCAAAGTCTGGACAAAATACAGTAGGCTACAGTGTAATGACATAACTGCCAGATTCAAACTGTGCGTTCGCGGGTTGGCTGGCGCTGAGCCAGAGATGGACGCGCTCAGCGCTTGTCATATATCATATAAAGTGTTCGGCGGGTCGTATATGGCCAAACTTAATTCATTAATAGGCCTATTATTAAAATTAATTGTTTTTATGAATCTGATTGGGTGGGCCACCTGTCAATCTGGGTGGGCACGTGCCCACCCAGGCCCGCCCATAAATCCGCGCCTGGTTTTTACCAACTGCTTACACACGTTTTCAAAACCAAGTCTCCTTTTTTCAAAACTCTACACACAATTCTCAAAACTGCACACACAAAATGCAAAATTCCTCACATCTCCTTCAAAATGCAACACTGCATTCAAAATGCCATAAACACATGTCAGAATGAAGCATTTGCATCAAATGGCAAACACTTCTTTCATAATATTTTTTTTTGGGATATACCATGTAAACACTGCTGTTCTAAATCTAAAGCTCTTTGGTCTTTCATAGGCTTATATCTACATTTTAATATAATGTTCTACAGTGAAAGTAATCTGCTGAGAGTGGTAACAAGTACACCGGAAACGCCAATGCAATGTAGAAACAGAAAATATTTATTAGGCCAAACATTACTGTTGTATACATTAGCATACAACAGAACTATAAACATTTACGTAAACCAAAAGTATATTCTTTACAGTAGAATACAGTAAATTGTGTGTGGGGTCCCGGTCCAGGAATTGGCAGGGGGGGAGGGGGGTGCAGTCCCCAGTGCTAAGCTTCATCTCTTCTCCGAGCTGGGTCTGGCCACAATACTTCGTCCACATCACAAGGTACGTTTTCTCTTGCCAAACATCGAGGGAAGTATCTCCTAGCATGGCATGGCGTATCCAACCTTGGACAGAGGCAACCTCTATGTCCCCACATGCGTCCTCCATTGCCTGGAGAAGCGGCATGCGGGCATAGGGTTGGCGATCATACACTTTCCAGCGCCAGGCTGAGAAGAATTCCTCTATGGGATTTAGAAAAGGTGAATATGGGGGTAGGTACAAAACTACAAATTGTGGATGGATGGCAAACCAGTTTTGGACCAGAACAGCCCGGTGAAAACTAACATTGTCCCACACAACCACAAATCTAGCAGCCTCCTGATCTGGATCAGGGACAAGCATTGTGTGAATTGCATCCAGAAAAGTGAGTATATGGCCGGTGTTGTATGGACCCAGTGTGGCATTGTGATGGAGGACCCCGTTATGAGTGATGGCAGCACACATGGTTATATTACCCCCACGCTGTCCAGGGACATTGGTAATTGCCCTCTGTCCTATTACATTTCGTCCACGGTGCCTGGTTTTGGTGAGGTTGAAGCCAACCTCATCCACATAAATAAATTCGTGGCGAATTACATGGGCATCCATCTCCAATACTCTCTGTAACAGACAAAATTATATACAGATGAGTAAATATGGTATGTCTGAAGTACTGGAAGTAGTGTTGCATACATACCTCTACAAAGTCATGTCGCAGATTCTTGACTCTGTCAGAGTTTCTCTCAAATGGCACCTTGTAAAGTTGTTTCATCGTCACTTGGTGCCGTTGGAGGATGCGTTGTATGGTCGACAGGCTTACAGCATTGATGTTGTTGAATATGGTGTCATTATTCAAGATATGCTCTCTTATCTCTCGAATCCTAATTGCATTGTTGGCCAAAACCATATTTATAATTGCAGTCTCTTGTACATCTGTAAACAAGTGTCCTCGTCCTCCATGATGTCTTTGCCTTTCCACTCTGTACAGAATTCAAATACAGTATGTGTTCAGCATAGGAACTGTAAACCATTTACAAAAAAAAAGTAGTACAGCATGATAACCATCCTCATTCATTCAATGCAGTGCAGTAAATGGATGGCTTAGAGTTACACATGTTTATGCAATACTATGCAGTCATACGTATTTTACAGTACATTACTATAATGCTAAAATAGTCATTAGATAGTTGCATACCTGTTCTCATTTCTGAAGGTTCGAATTATGGACGCCACTGTAAATCGACTCAAGTTGGGCTGGACTCTCAGTCCAGCCTCTCTCATGGTCAAACCATGGTTACATGATCAACAAGTGTTGCCCTAATCTCATCAGAGATGGCTCTCCTTCCTTCTCTTATTTGCCCTCGTCCTCTTCCTCCTCTTCCTCTTCCCCTTCCTCTTCCCCCTCCACCTCTTCCCCCTCCTCCTCCTCCTCCCCCCCCTCCTCCTCCTCCTCCTCCCCCTCCTCCTCCTCCTCCTCCCCCTCCTCCTCCTCCTCCTCCCCCTCCTCCTCCTCGTTGTCCCCTGCCTCTTCCTTCTCCTCCTCCTCGTTGTCCCCTGCCTCTTCTTCTTCCTCCTCTTCCTCCTCCTCCTCCTCTTCCTCTGCCTCTTCCTCCTCCTCCTCTTGCTCTCTGTTCATTGTTAGCATCCATTGTTCAAAACAGGTATTCTG